AGTGTGTATCAGTGTGTGTATCAGAGTGTGTAGCAGAGTGTGTAGCAGGGTGTGTAGCAGGGTGTGTAGCAGAGTGTGTATCAGAGTGTGTAGCAGAGTGTGTATCAGAGTGTGTAGCAGAGTGTGTATCAGAGTGTGTAGCAGAGTGTGTATCAGTGTGTGTAGCAGAGTGTGTATCAGTGTGTGTAGCAGAGTGTGTATCAGAGTGTGTAGCAGAGTGTGTATCAGAGTGTGTAGCAGTGTGTATCAGAGTGTGTAGCAGAGTGTGTATCAGTGTGTGTAGCAGAGTGTGTATCAGTGTGTGTAGCAGAGTGTGTATCACAGTGTGTAGCAGAGTGTGTAGCAGGGTGTGTAGCAGGGTGTGTATCAGTGTGTGTAGCAGGGTGTGTATCAGTGTGTGTATCAGAGTGTGTAGCAGAGTGTGTAGCAGAGTGTGTAGCAGGGTGTGTAGCAGGGTGTGTATCAGAGTGTGTAGCAGAGTGTGTAGCAGGGTGTGTAGCAGGGTGTGTAGCAGAGTGTGTAGCAGAGTGTGTAGCAGTGTGTATAGCAGGGTGTGTAGCAGGGTGTGTATCAGAGTGTGTAGCAGAGTGTGTAGCAGAGTGTGTATCAGTGTGTGTAGCAGGGTGTGTATCAGTGTGTGTAGCATAGTGTGTAGCAGAGTGTGTAGCAGAGTGTGTAGCAGAGTGTGTATCAGAGTGTGTATCAGATTGTGTAGCAGAGTGTGTAGCAGAGTGTGTAGCAGTGTGTGTAGCAGTGTGTGTAGCAGTGTGTGTATCAGTGTGTGTATCAGAGTGTGTAACAGTGTGTGTAGCAGGGTGTGTAGCAGGGTGTGTATCTGTGTGTATCAGAGTGTGTAGCAGAGTGTGTAGCAGAGTGTGTAGCAGAGTGTGTATCAGTGTGTGTAGCAGTGTGTGTATCAGAGTGTGTATCAGATTGTGTAGCAGAGTTTGTGGCAGAGTGTGTAGCAGTGTGTGTAGCAGTGTGTGTAGCAGTGTGTGTATCAGTGTGTGTATCAGAGTGTGTAACAGTGTGTGTAGCAGGGTGTGTAGCAGGGTGTGTATCAGTGTGTGTATCATAGTGTGTAGCAGAGTGTGTAGCAGATTGTGTAGCAGAGTGTGTATCAGTGTGTGTAGCAGTGTGTGTATCAGAGTGTGTAGCAGAGTGTGGATCAGTGTGTGTAGCAGAGTGTGTAGCAGAGTGTGTAGCAGAGTGTGTAGCAGAGTGTGTATCAGAGTGTGTAGCAGATTGTGTATCAGAGTGTGTAGCAGAGTGTGTAGCAGTGTGTGTATCAGTGTGTGTATCAGAGTGTGTAGCAGTGTGTAGCAGTGTGTGTATCAGTGTGTGTATCAGAGTGTGGAGCAGTGTGTAGCAGTGTGTGTATCAGAGTGTGTAGCAGAGTGTGTAGCAGGGTGTGTATCAGAGTGTGTATCAGAGTGTGTAGCAGTGTGTGTATCAGTGTGTGTAGCAGGATGTGTATCAGAGTGTGTAGCAGAGTGTGTAGCAGAGTGTGTAGCAGTGTGTGTATCAGTGTGTGTAGCAGGGTGTGTATCAGAGTGTGTATCAGTGTGTGTAGCAGTGTGTAGCAGTGTGTGTATCAGAGTGTGTAGCAGAGTGTGTAGCAGAGTGTGTGACAGTGTGTGTATCAGTGTGTGTAGCAGGGTGTGTATCAGAGTGTGTATCAGTGTGTGTAGCAGTGTGTAACAGTGTGTGTAGCAGGGTGTGTATCAGAGTGTGTAGCAGAGTGTGTATCAGAGTGGGTAGCAGTGTGTGTATCAGAGTGTGTATCAGAGTGTGTAGCAGAGTGTGTATCAGTGTGTGTAGCAGAGTGTGTAGCAGAGTGTGTAGCAGAGTGTGTATCAGAGTGTGTAGCAGATTGTGTATCAGAGTGTATAGCAGAGTGTGTAGCAGTGTGTGTATCAGTGTGTGTATCAGAGTGTGTAGCAGTGTGTGTATCAGTGTGTGTATCAGAGTGTGGAGCAGTGTGTAGCAGTGTGTGTATCAGAGTGTGTAGCAGAGTGTGTAGCAGGGTGTGTATCAGAGTGTGTAGCAGTGTGTGTATCAGTGTGTGTAGCAGGGTGTGTATCAGAGTGTGTAGCAGAGTGTGTAGCAGAGTGTGTAGCAGTGTGTGTATCAGTGTGTGTAGCAGGGTGTGTATCAGAGTGTGTATCAGTGTGTGTAGCAGTGTGTAGCAGTGTGTGTATCAGAGTGTGTAGCAGAGTGTGTAGCAGTATGTGTAGCAGGGTGTGTATCAGAGTGTGTATCAGAGTGTGTATCAGAGTGTGTAGCAGAGTGTGTAGCAGTGTGTGTAGCAGAGTGTGTATCAGAGTGTGTAGCAGAGTGTGTAGCAGAGTGTGTATCAGAGTGTGTAGCAGAGCGTGTAGCAGAGTGTGTATCAAAGTGTGTAGCAGAGTGTGTAGCAGGGTGTGTATCAGTGTGTGTATCAGTGTGTGTAGCAGGGTGTGTAGCAGAGTGTGTAGCAGAGTGTGTAGCAGGTGTGTATCAGGTGTGTATCAGAGTGTGTATCAGAGTGTGTATCAGAGTGTGTAGCAGAGTGTGTATCAGTGTGTGTAGCAGAGTGTGTAGCAGAGTGTGTATCAGTGTGTGTAGCAGAGTGTGTAGCAGTGTGTGTAGCAGAGTGTGTAGCAGAGTGTGTATCAGTGTGTGTAGCAGTGTGTAGCAGAGTGTGTATCATGTGTGTGTAGCAGAGTGTGTACAGAGTGTGTATCAGTGTGTAGCAGTGTGTAGCAGTGTGTGTGTAGCAGAGTGTGTATCAAGCGTGTAGCAGTGTGTGTGTGTAGCAGAGTGTGTAGCAGAGTGTGTAGGTGTGTACAGGGCAGGTGTGTAGCAGTGTGTGTAGCAGAGTGTGTAGCAGAGTGTGTATCAGTGTGTGTAGCAGAGTGTGTATCAGAGTGTGTAGCAGTGTGTGTAGCAGAGTGTGTAGCAGAGTGTGTATCAGTGTGTGTATCAGAGTGTGTACAGAGTGTGTAGCAGAGTGTGTAGCAGAGTGTGTAGCAGAGTGTGTAGCAGAGTGTGTAGCAGTGTGTGTATCAGAGTGTGTAGCAGTGTGTAGCAGAGTGTGTAGCAGAGTGTGTAGCAGTGTGTGTATCAGGTGTGTATCAGTGTGTGTATCAGAGTGTGTAGCAGAGTGTGTAGCAGAGTGTGTAGCAGAGTGTGTAGCAGAGTGTGTATCAGTGTGTGTAGCAGAGTGTGTAGCAGAGTTGTGTGTGTGTAGCAGAGTGTGTAGCAGAGTGTGTAGCAGAGTGTGTAGCAGAGTGTGTATCAGTGTGTGTAGCAGAGTGTGTAGCAGAGTGTGTATCAGGTGTGTATCAGTGTGTGTAGCAGAGTGTGTAGCAGAGTGTGTCAGTGTGTGTAGCAGAGTGTGTAGCAGAGTGTGTATGTGGTGTACAGTGTGTAGCAGTGTGTAGCAGAGTGTGTCAGAGTGTGTAGCAGAGTGTGTAGCAGAGTGTGTAGCAGTGTGTGTGTAGCAGTGTGTGTAGCAGAGTGTGTAGCAGAGTGTGTATCAGTGTGTGTAGCAGAGTGTGTAGCAGAGTGTGTATCAGTGTGTGTATCAGAGTGTGTAGCAGAGTGTGTATCAGTGTGTGTATCAGAGTGTGTAGCAGAGTGTGTAGCAGTGTGTGTAGCAGAGTGTGTAGCAGAGTGTGACAGACGCCATAGGTCCCACATGGTGATGGTTAAACAGGCCGTGATGGTTTAGGTCCCACATGGTCCTGGTTAAACAGGCCGTGATGGTTTAGGTCCCACATGGTCCTGGTTAAACAGGCCGTGATGGTTTAGGTCCCACATGGTGATGGTTAAACAGGCCGTGATGGTTTAGGTCCCACATGGTCCTGGTTAAACAGGCCGTGATGGTTTAGGTCCCACATGGTGATGGTTAAACAGGCCGTGATGGTTTAGGTCCCACATGGTCCTGGTTAAACGGGCCGTGATGGTTTAGGTCCCACATGGTGCTGGTTAAACGGGCCGTGATGGTTTAGGTCCCACATGGTGCTGGTTAAACAGGCCGTGATGGTTTAGGTCCCACATGGTCCTGGTTAAACAGGCCGTGATGGTTTAGGTCCCACATGGTGATGGTTAAACAGGCCGTGATGGTTTAGGTCCCACATGGTCCTGGTTAAACGGGCCGTGATGGTTTAGGTCCCACATGGTGCTGGTTAAACGGGCCGTGATGGTTTAGGTCCCACATGGTGCTGGTTAAACAGGCCGTGATGGTTTAGGTCCCACATGGTGCTGGTTAAACAGGCCGTGATGGTTTAGGTCCCACATGGTGCTGGTTAAACGGGCCGTGATGGTTTAGGTCCCACATGGTGCTGGTTAAACAGGCCGTGATGGTTTAGGTCCCACATGATCCTGGTTAAACAGGCCGTGATGGTTTAGGTCCCACATGGTGCAGGTTAAACAGGCCGTGATGGTTTAGGTCCCACATGGTCCTGGTTAAACAGGCCGTGATGGTTTAGGTCCCACATGGTGATGGTTAAACAGGCCGTGATGGTTTAGGTCCCACATGGTCCTGGTTAAACGGGCCGTGATGGTTTAGGTCCCACATGGTGCTGGTTAAACGGGCCGTGATGGTTTAGGTCCCACATTGTGCTGGTTAAACAGGCCGTGATGGTTTAGGTCCCACATGGTGCTGGTTAAACAGGCCGTGATGGTTTAGGTCCCACATGGTGCTGGTTAAACGGGCCGTGATGGTTTAGGTCCCACATGGTGCTGGTTAAACAGGCCGTGATGGTTTAGGTCCCACATGATCCTGGTTAAACAGGCCGTGATGGTTTAGGTCCCACATGGTGCTGGTTAAACATGCCTTGATGGTTTAGGTCCCACATGGTGCTGGTTAAACGGGCCGTGATAGTTTAGGTCCCACATGGTGCTGGTTAAACAGGCGTGATGGTTTAGGTCCCACATGGTGCTGGTTAAACAGGCCGTGATGGTTTAGGTCCCACATGGTGCTGGTTAAACAGGCGTGATGGTTTAGGTCCCAC